CTTTAATTGTTGCCTCTTTCATAATTGCAAATTACCTTAAATCTTCTTTGTTAAGTTTTGTAAAAACACTTTAAAGAATTTGACAAAATACAGTAACAAGGGACGTTACACAAAGTATTCACTGTTATTAGTCTCTCTAGTTAGTTGGTCCTGTAAAAGAAATCAAACCAACATAACAACATGAAGGAAATGCAATTACTATTAACCTCTTTTTCAAACATGATTTTAAATTTAGAATAATTTCAGTATATCTGTCTTCTACATATATATCACATAGAAACTCTACACAAACCAAAGTTAGCTAATTGATTCAACAAGCATTAAGCCAACAACTCTACCCAATAGTACTTAGAGATTTTAATATAGATATCTTTATAACAAGTTCAAATAGCTTAAAATCCAGACTTATTAACTTTCTTACAAGTAACAATTTATATGACCTTGCTAACTATACTTCAAATATATTTCACATATGGTATAACAATCAATTACAAACTAGGATTAATTATATATAGTATTATAAATCTTTAACACTATATTTACAAAAGTTTAGCCTAGTAGAACTTTCAACTAATGATACTACCTGAAACTATATTAGGTCACTAACTGAAACCGAAACTAGTTTTAGGTATCTGAAACTAATTTTCAAAACTCTGAAACTTGTTAAAATTCTGAAACTATATTGAAATCTAAGCCTATACTGAAATTCTGAAACTATTTAAAATTTTAAATCTATAGTAAATTCCTGAAACTATATTAAAACTCCAAAACTATATATATATTCACTTACAGCTGTTTAAATTACTATAATATTTTATAATATCTACATCATAAATTAAATATATTTTTGAATTTGTTCAATTGAATATGTTAATATCTAAAATGCTTATATTTATAGAGCTGTGCATATACTATGTATGCGTATTATTAGACACTAAAGTTATTTAACTAATTCTTATAAAGTGTAAGTACTACATAATTATCCTCTTTATAATCACTATTTTGCTTATAACAAATACCGTGATAGCAACAATATACTTAAATATTTATAAAATATATTACATATTTGTATAAATAGGAGTAAATATTTAATAGATCCATATGATTCACTAACAGCAGAGATACAGAAAAAGTGCGATTTTATTTATAAGAATTTCAAATACTTTAAATAAAATTATATTTTTCTGTATTCCTAACTAACAGAGCTTAAATTACATTACTATTTTACCAACTATTTATTGTATTAATTCTTATTGTTTAAAATCCCAGAAATTAAATATTTAGCTATTAATTCTGATTTAGGAACTTATTATGCTCTTTTTGAAACACAAGCAAAGTATAAATTTACTCCTTACCTGAAACCAATTCAACTACAGCTAATTATTGATATAGCCAAGAAGACTATACCAAAGCCAAAGTTGATAAGGAAAAATTAGCTTAGTATTTTATTTTGCATTTAATTATATATAATTATAGCAAATTAAATTATTATAATATTTTAAATAGCCAGCAATTATTATATGTATTAGTTAAGATCCTGCTAACAGTACCTTATTTTGACAGTTAGTTCACAGATAAGTTTATTTTATAAAATTAAATCTATCTGAATTAATTATCTATAAAATAGACTTTTCTGTGATCTAACTATTTGTGAATAAGGTATCTATAGATTATAACAACTTATAGAATTTCATTCTATTAATGAAGTAATTATAGCTTTAGATTGTTTTTGAAATAAGCGAAATGAGCTAATAATTTAATACTAGTATGGAGTGGTTTATACTCCTAAATTACTCTAAAATATAATACTAATTAACATGATAAAAAGAAATTAATAACTTACTTAAATTTCTAAGTGATAAATTAGAATAAATAGCTTATCTTAATAATTATTAACTAAGTTAGAGGAAGTTGTTAGCAAAGTAATTGACAAAATGGTAAGGTATATATATGTATTTGCTAAGAACCAAGTTGATAATAAATTATTAATTATTAAAGTAGATAAATTAGTGTCACTGAGTCACACAAAATACAATATTTGTTGACTTCTACTATCAGTATTTAACTTGCTTGGCTATTATACTATTCATTAAGAATAAAAGTTAGAGATATCAGGAACTAAAGTTAGGCACTTCCCCTATTTGGATATCTTATATTATTACTATCGCTAATAATTACTACATTGTTCATATAATACTAATTGCTAATAATTACTATATTATTAATACAATCACTCTTTTAGACTTTTAATTAAATTGTGATCATACTATTTATGCAAATCTCAATCTGATTACATAGTATCGTGCAACACTATGATAATTAGCTTTAGTAATTTAGTATAGTTTGGTCCTTTATACTAACAATAGCCACACTGGTTACTTAGTTCATTAGAAATAGTTCAGTTTACCCTGGTAATAAGTGAGTAATCTTATATCAATATATATACAATATATATAGTGCATATATATGATTACTTATATACTTCTATATAGTGATTTGTAAACATATTCTTTACCTTATTTATTTAATTGTAATTTTATAAAGGGATAATATATAATTTATTTATTTTTAAATTGCATATTTAATATATATATATATATAATATATGTCATGACTTTACATATATATTATTCAATATCTTGAACTAATTCTTCTAAATTAAATTCATGATCTTTATTTATAGCAATATCAGAATTGACATTATCTTTATTAGAGACATACAAATCCCCTACTTGATTAAATGCTTGATGATGCAAATCTTCAATGTTATTAATAACAAGAACTACTACTTGATGATTAGGAATCTCTAAATCATTATCTGATTCTCCATTATTTTCATCTTCATAGTCTTCACTTATATCATTTTCATTCTCAGCATCAAACAGATAAGACCTTTGAATCAATACTACTAATTCATCTTCAGTTTTGTTTTTCACATTATATGATAGC